GTACGGTTACGGTACGTACGTTACACCTAACGACGTACGTACCGGTACCTAACGTACGTAACTTACTACTTCTCTACTATTACTATATATATATATATATATATATATATATATATATATATATATGAACTAGAATATCTCCGTCCTCCAGTTCTGAATATATAACAGTAAAAGCATATTGCAACTTCTACTTAACAGGGGGAACACGACCATATCAATACCACTCAAAAGCCACTAATGAGCATATTGGCAAGCACCTTTATGAATATAGAAGACAAGAGGGTGGAAAACAAATACTGATTTATACAAAAACTATGATTGGCATTCAAATACAGTAATGACAAGGAAGCACTTTTGGAAATGAGAACAGGCAGAATCCACAACTGCCAAGATATCGCCATGAGAGTGTTAGCTTTGGGGTGAGAACACCACGCGTTTAAAAGCTTTCTGCAACTAGGTGCCAATCCGCTTGATCGGACGAATTTCCACCAGAAACCACAACCTCTAGAATAATAATTTAACTATGCTAATGATTTGCATGGGTTTATGAAGATCACACAATTGCAATCACAACCCATTTCTCAATCACATTCCATTTCTCAATCATATTTTGTGATCTTGAGATGCTTTTGCCAAACTCATATTTGTACTAGATTTAAGGGCCCAGGATTAAGTAGTTTTTGGTAAACAGCCTTTTTTTTAAATTATAATACATGCATTCATCAGTTAACTAATGCTAACAGCCATGTATTAATACATTGCAAGCTCTTATTACCATGAAGCCGTTTTATCGTGGGTGCTGGTTTTCAACTTTGAATAATTGTGACCAGACCAGCACAGAGGCTGCACTAAGTGAAAGGAGTAGCTTGGCTTGATGAGGAATGTTTTGAATGTAACATATTTTAAGTCACATTTTTCTAAAGAATTGTATACTATGAGACCATTTATCATTGATACAAGGAAGTTACAATTACTTCTAGTCATTAGATGACAAATTGGAAATCTTACGGTGTGTCACAAAGTTTGAGAAATTTTCTCTTGAACTTGTCTAGTCAATGACACTCTTACAATCACACGATGAGAAATCTGACGGACAAGAGTGATTGTGACCTTGTATCAAAAGTAAATGGTCTCTTTGTACACTTTTCTTTTTTCTAATTTTCTTGGACAATTATAAGGTGCTTTGGAGACAAAGTATCAAAGAGCAGAAGATAGTCTACAAGACAGCCAACACCTAAATTGTCCGATTAAATGAAAAACTAATTTACAACAAGAAGTTAGAAGTAGAATTGGACTAAGAGATACAGAGCACTCGATCAGCATTAGTCTCAAACTTTCAACGAAAAGGGGAGACCTAACATGTGAATTAAAGAGATTGGGATTTTGCTATTCAGTATTCATCAAGTTCTGGATAAAGGAATCCCAATTGTTACAAATTTGAAAATATTCTTACAGTAGGAGATCCACCATTCCACTCAATGGGCTTGTTATTTTAAAAACATAAGAGATACCAAAACAAGAAGAGGAGGGGCCAATGCACATTTTTAAATTTCATGCTAAATGTTCTCTCCGAGAATCCTATAGAGGCGATAAAAGCCATAAATATACAGAGAGAGAGAGATGTCTCGTTGGACAAATCTCGAAGATCAATACCATAAAAGAACAAAAACAGATCTGTCTTTCAGGGAGTCCAACACATCAGATCTGAGTTTCAAGGTACTAAAACCTTGCGATAATAGGCCCACAGTCGAGCATGAAGTATGATTTAGAAACATTAAAAAGCAGTCAAATTCCACAAAAAGAGAAAAAAATAACCTAACATCTAAAAATTGAATCAATTAGCCATGTTCTTCTAAGCCAAATTCATACGATATCCAAAATTCTATTGCTTATTTGTTCATTTCAGTGATCTTAATGAGGTGTCTTAAAGATAAGGACAAAAGAAAAATGGGAAGCATACCATTGCAGATAACTGAACCCCATTGATAGTTTAAGCCAATGACGTTTACAACTAGAAAATAAGCCAATAGTCACTCATTAACTATCCTTGCAATGAGGAAGTAACTACAGAAAAATAATGACGTGAAAAATGAAATATAGAACCAGCAAATAGTATACCAAGATAGACATATTCACAAAAAAATAATGTCTGGCATCTCTTCAAGGCATCCAAGAGATCCAAAAAAGAAATAAAGAAAATTCGGAGAATGAATAGAAACTAACAATCAATTACCAAATAAAACCGACCTTCAAACACCATAATGGGCAAATAATTTGATTATTCTTGATAATGCATCTCTCTCTCTCTCTCTCTCTCTCACACACACACACACACACACACGACTACCATACTACTAATATAATTATAGTACGTCGGTTAGGACGGAGTACGACGAACGCGGGAACGGTAGGAGGTCAG